AGAGAGAGAGAGAGAGAGAGAGAGCACGAGCATGAGTGGTGGAGGGGCAGAGAGAGAGGGAGACACAGATCCAAGGCAGGCTCCAGGTTCTGAGCTGTCAGCACAGAGTCCAACATGGGGTTTGAACTCACGAACTGTGAGATTTATGACCTGAGCCGAAGTTGGACACTTAACCAACCAAGCCACCCAGAAGCCTCTGGCAAGGTTTAACATTCTAAAGTCTACAAATGTCATAAACCATAAAACTGATAAAGAAGAAAAACCATGTAATTACCTCAACCACTGCAGAAAAAGCATACGTTCTTGATTAAAAATTCAACACCCATTCATGCTTTTAATAAACAGTAACTTCTGGCCTACTGTAAATTAAACACCAAAGTGTTGGTGAGGATGTAGAGAAAAATGAACCCTCGTGCACTGTTGGTAGAAATGCAAACTGGTGCAGCCACTGTGGAAAACAGTATGGAGGGTCCTCAAAAAATTAAAAATAGAATTACCATATGATCCAGTAATTCCACTACTGGGTATTTACCCAAAGAAAACAAAAACCCTAATTTGAAAAGATAATATGCACCCTTATATTTATCGCAGCCTTATTTACAACAGCCAAGATATGGAAATAATCAAAGTGTCCATCAACAGATGAAAGGACAAGGAATATACAATGGAATATCAGCCATAAAAACGAATGAAATCCTGCCATTTGCAATAACATGGAAGGACCCTGAATGTATAATGCTAGCTGAAATAAGTCAGTCAGAAAAAGGCAAATACCATATGTGATTTCACACATATGTGGAACTTAAGAAACAAAACAAAGTCAAAAAAAGAGACAAACCAAAAAGTAGACTCTTAGACACAGAGAACAAACGTGGTTGCCAGAGGGATGGAGAGTAGGGGGAAGGGTGAAATAGATTAAGGAAGTTCAAAGTACACTTATCTTGATGAGCACTGAGACATGTATTGAATCATTATACTGTACACCTGAAACTAATATAACACTGTATGTTAATTATGCTTGAATTTTTAAAAATGAAGTAATTATTGACAGGTAATGAAAAACTAGTAATGATAATAACTCTTGGCATGCTAGGGATTGAAAGGAATTTTCTCAACCTGAGAAAGGGTAACTGTAAAAAGCCTACAGCAATGTTACCCTTAACGGGGAAATGATGAAAACATTCCTTTTAAAACTAAGAAAAGATAAGGGTTCTCACTGTCATCACTTCTACTCAACTATTCAGCTTTGTGTGGAGGTACTAGCCAGTACAGGAGGAGAATAAAGACATAAGAAATTAAAGACTTAAGGATTAGAAAGGAATAACTAAAACTGTCATATCTACATAGAAACACGCACACACTACCTCCAGAAATGTTTAGAAATAAAAAGTTAAGGAGGTGGCTTTGTATATGGTTGATACACAAAAATCAATAGCATTTCTTTTTTGTTTAAATACATTTTTAAGTTTATTTATTTGTCTATTTATTTAGAGAGAGAGCATGCGCACATGAGCAGGGGAGGGACAGAGTGAGAGAGAGCATCCCAAACAGGCTCCACACTGTCAGCACAGAGCTCCATGTGAGGCTCCAGCCCACAAACCAGGAGATCACGTGAGCCGAAATCAAGAGTCAGACACTTGGGGCACCTGGGTGGCTCAGTCGGTTAAGCGTCTGACTTCGGCTCAAGTCATGATCTGGAGGTTCGTGAGATCCAGCCCTGCGTCGGGCTCTGTGCTGACAGCTGAAAGCCTGAAGCCTGCTTTGGATTCTGTGTCTCCCTCTCTCTCTGCCCCTCCCCTGCTCGTGCTCTGTCTCTCTCTCTCAAAAATAAATAAACATTAAAAAAAAGAGTGTGACACTTACCCAACTGAGCCCCCCAAGGCACCCTCAAGAGCATTTCTACACAGCAATTCAAACAACAAGAAAATTTCTTTTAAAAATGATAATATTTAAGTAACAAGTTTATTTAAAAGGCAAATTCTAAAAGAATAGATCAGGAAGTCTGAACAATTTGAAAGGAAAAAAGTTAGCAATTATTCCTAGTACTCCTAGTAATTATTCCTGAATGTGGGTTTATTCCTAATAGGAATAACTACAGTAACAACTCCCAGTACACTAGGGATTGAAAGGAATTTTCTTAACCTGATAAAGGGCATTTACAAAAACACAGCAGCATTATTCCTAATGGGAAAGTGATGAAAGCATTCCTTTTAAAATCAGGAACAGGACAGGGGTTCTCACTATTGCACACTATTCAATTGTTCAACATTGTCAGAGAGGTCCTAGCCAGAACAGTAAAAGATCAAAGATGTAAGAAATTAAACACAGAGAATTAGAGAGGATTTATTTACTCCTAGTAGGATGAAATCTATATATTACACCTACCTAGGAATAACTGACAAAAGATCTGCAATGTCTTTGTGTTGAAAATTATAAAAGGTTATGAAAGGACATTAAAGACGGGGCGCCTGCGTGGCTCAGTTGGTTGAGCGTCCAACTCTTGATTTCGGTGCAGGTCATGGTCTCACAGTTTGTGAGATCAAGCCCTGCAATGGGCTCTGCACTAGCAGCTTGGAGCCAGCTTGGAATTCTCTCTCTCCTTTCTCTCTGCCCCTCCCTTGCTTTCTGTCTCTCTCTGTCTCTCAAAATAAATAAACACTAAAAACAAAAAGTTAAAAAAAAAAAAAGACATTAAAGAATATCCTTAAAAATGGGGAGCCCATGTTCATGGATGAGACGTTTCAATACCATAACTATCAATTCTTCCAAACTGATTCAAATTGATCAGTGCAATTCCAATCAAAATCCTTAACGGACTTTTTTAAATGTCAAAATTTACAAGCTGACTGTAAAATTTATATGAAAAATCAAGAGGTCAACACTACTCAACATACTCCTAAAAAAGGTAGAATTTGCGTAATAATATAGCATAATATTTGCATAATCATAGAGCATGTTTGCATCGTTATAAAGCACAATAATTAAAACTGCATTGCAGGTTAGACAAATTGATCAATGGAATAGAATAGACAGGCAAGGGGTGCCTGGATGGCACAAGTCAGTTAAGTGGCAGACTCTTGATTTGGGCTCAGGTCATGATCTCGTGATTTGTGAGATCAAGCCCCGTGCTGGGCTCTGTGCTGACAGTGCAGAGCCTGCTTGGGATTCTCTCTCTGCCCCTTCTCTGCTTTCTCTCTCTCAAAATAAAAAAAAAAAAAAAACAAAAACATAGGAAAAAAAAAAGAACAGAGACAAAGACACATTTTGCTATCTGACAGAAGCACACTGTGTATGGAGAAAGAAAGGGATTTTCTATAGTTCTGGTTCCATCATTTCCTATACATAAAATATTAAATTATATTCCTACCTCACATCATACACAAAATCAATTCCAGGTAAATTTAGGGCTTAAACGTAAAAACCAAAATTCTACATTAACAGGAAAATGTAGTATAATATTTTTCTGACCCTGGGATAATGTAAGATTTCTTTTTTTTTTTTTTAA